AAAAAAAAAAAAATATATATATATGTATTAAAAAGACCCCAGCTACGTGCGTGTGTGTGCAGATGTGCACTTAATGAGAAAGCCCCGTTCTTCACTCAGCTGTCTGCCCAGAGAGCCTTCCCCCAAGAGACACACACAGGCCACCTCATCTGGAGGGATCGGTCTGCACCCTCTTACTCCGTGTATTTGTTTCCTGTGGCTGCTGTGACGAATTACCACGAACTGGGTGGCTTGAAACAGCACACATTTATTCTCTCAGAGTTCTGGAGGCCGGGAGTCTGAAACCCAGGTGAGGGCAGGGCCGTGCTCCCTCTGGAGGTTCTAGGGCAGAATCTCCTCCCTGCCTCTCCCAGCTTCTAGTGGCTCCAGGGTGCCTGGGCTGGTGGCTGCATCCCTCCAGGGTCTGCCTTTATCTTTCCACGGCTTTCTTCTCTTCTGTGTGTTGAGTCTCCCTCGGCCTCTCTCTTATGAGGAGATTTCGATTCCAGTTGGGAACAACCTGGACAATCCAATCCCGGATAATCTTCTCATCTCTAGTCCCGTCTGCAAAGACGCTGGCAGTTAAGATCACATTCCCACGTTCCAGAGACCTGATCTCTTTGGGGGACCAGTATTCAGCCACCTCTATCTCTGCTTTACCTCCTTCGAGACACGCAGTCTTTTTTTTTTTTTTTTTTTTTTTTAATGTTTATTTATTTATTTGGGGGGGAGGTTGTAGAGAGAGAGAGAGAGAGAGAGAGAGAGAGAGAGAGAGGGAGAGAGAATCCCAAGCAGGCTCCGCACTGTCAGCGCAGAGCTCAACACGGGGCTTGATCTCACAAACTGTGGGATCATGACCTGAGCCGAGATCAAGGGTGGGATGCTTAACCGACTGTGTCACACAGGTGTCCCCCGCCCCCCAGTCTTAACCGTTTTCAGTGAACAGTTCAGTGGCCTTAAGTACGTTCACACTGTTGTGCAGCCATCACCACCATCCGTGTCCAGAACTTTTCGGTCTTCTTCAATTAAAACTCTGACTCCCTATCCCCCCTCCCGCCGGTCCTGGTGCCCGCCATTCTGC